AGTCTCTCTCTCTCTAGCTCAGGCTGGAGTGCAGTGATGTGGCCATAACTCACTGTATCCTCAACCTTCTGGGCACAAGTGATCCTCTCACCACAGCCTCCCATGTAGCTGGGACCACAGGCATGCACCACCTGATGCCCAGCTAATTTTTTTATTTTTTATTTTTTAGAAATGGTGTTTTGCTGTGTTGCCCAGGTTGGTCTTGAAGTCCTGGGCTCAAGCAGTCCTCCCATCTTGGCTTCCCAAAGTGCTTGGATAACATGCATGAGCCACCACGCCTGGCAAACATACTCTTTTTAACCACCGGGTAGTACTCCATTTTACGGAATTGACCTTAATTCCCTGAACTACTCTCATATTGAACAACTGAGTGATCCTCATTTTTTCATTATTCAAAAAAAAAAAAAAAGGTCCAGTGAGCATCCTTTTGTATCTGTAAGTAGGTCTAGGATCTGTCTCTAGAATTGCCAGGTGAAAAGTGTGGACATTTAAACTACATTTAAATTTTTGATGCATATTACTACTTTTCATATTAATTTTCTCTTTTTGTGTTCCTTCCTCCCTCCCTTCTTCCCTTCTTGGCTTTCTTTTTTTCCCCCCTTTGCAATGGTAAGAGAACATAGTATTTGAACTCTGAAGAAGCCACTAGGGAGTGGAGTATTAGAAGGTTCAGAGAAGAGGCCTGGGAGAAGATGGGACCCAGGGTATATGTGGAGATCCCAGTCTTAGGCAGGAGAAGGAGTCTCTTGCATTTTAACAGGAAGGAGGGGCAAGGAAGTAGGGCTCATGGGTATATACAGGAAGGCTTCTCGGTTTGGAGGCACACAAAAAGAAGGCAAATTTGTGTTAGAAGGCAAATTACTAGCTGAGAATGAGGATGGAAAAAGTGGGATTAGAAGCTGAAGGAGAGGAGGAGGATTTGAAAAGGCTGCAGTGAAGGATGGGAGAGGGAGTTAAGCAGGACCATGGAGGAGAATTGCCATGCAGTGGCAGAGCCCAGCATTGAGGTGGAGTTGATTCTTGTTGCTCCATTCTCATTATTTGCAGTAGTTATGCTCCACAAATTAGCAAGTATGGAACCATCGCTCCTGGGGGAAATAGCGGGTTAGCTTCCTGTGAGCCTCTGGTCACATTTTCGTCTACCGATCAGTATGTAACCTTGTTTTATGTGTGTTTCTGTTTAAAGACACCTCATTTCATATATATTATTGATTGATCAAAATTGAACTCGCAGGTAAGAGCACTATCACTCCTGCCTGATGAAGCTTATCTAGCACAAGTACCTTCTCTGTAAGGCACATCACAACCTTTTGACACTTAGGGACACCAAATAACACTTCAGCACTATGTCAGGGGCCATTTTAAACAGCAGCTTCACCCAAAAAAAGCACAAAAATGTAGAACGTGTGGCACTAAATGGACCCCATAAAAGACACTTGTTCCCAGCATGAGAACTGAAACAAGAAGGTAAAGCGCCTTTTTGATTGACTTCAGCTGGGAACATACATGTTGAGCAACTCAAAAGTGTTGTCAGTCTGTGCATGTCAACGAACACTGCAGGTATTATTTTGGGGTTAAAAATGAATTGTAGCAAGTAGAGGAAGTCACAAATATGGAACACAACATGTGAATAACGAAGACTGGCGGAATGTCATTTTTCCCTTCCCAGCACCGTTTACTAGACTCTGTTAGGTACAGACAAGATGGATACCTGAAATGATGGAATGTCACCAGCAAATGTTTGCAAAGGATATCAGGGCAGAAATTTTTAAATGTTGGCAAGAAAACGTTTTTTAAGTGATTGCTAGGAAAGGAAGGCTTGGGATGAGGGGAGCTGCTAGGGAGGAAGTAGAGGGATCTGTGTGAGATACTGGAGTTTCTGTTGAGATTGAGGAAGAGGCATGCTGGGAGTGACTGAGTTTGCAAACTGGAATAGGAGTATGTGTCCTAGGGTTGGATTTTTACATTTAATATTAAAAAGCAGAGCAGTTCTTGTTGGGGACTAGATTCATGGGAGTGAGGGCTCGAAGCAGAGAGGAAGAGAGACAAAATGCCAAGGTACTAGAAGAGTCATACATATATATAATGAAAGTACTCAGATAGAGAGGAAGAGAATAAGCCAGGGTAAGTGTTCGGGAGGTTAGCATGGGGGAGGAAGAGCAGGAGAGTTGCTTCAGCCACGTGGCTCGAGCCTCGGAGGAGAACTGGCCTAGGATCCATGGTGTGGTGGGAGGCAGCAACTCCACCTGTGTCTGCAGGAGGTAGAGTGGGGAAGAGGAGCAGCCTTAGGGAAAGGCTCGAGAAGGATGAGCTAGGTACGACTGTGGGCAAGAAGGATGAGGATATGGGAGGTTGTTTCTCAAAGCATAGCTTTCCAGAGAGCCTGAGATAGAGACTGGGGGACAACAGAGAGAGCTCAGCTCAAGGGAGCAGAAGCTCAGAACGGTGTGCCCACCAGAAAGTAGAGGCTGTAACCTACTAAAGGGGCTGAGCTTTTAGGATTGGCCAGAGGCAGCTGACTGTGAGACAGAGGAGAGAAGCAGCCTTCTTTGCATGGGGTGGCTGCAGGGAGTGGGGGTAGCCCCAGTCTTTCTTGAGAGATTGTATTTCCTAGGGATTCCAATCTCAGCTCTATGGAGAGACTCTGTTCTCTGGGGGTAGTCAGCTTAGTTGTAAATTTTATGTGTGTGGTCTATCAATACATTCCAATTGAAAAAATACTGATATATAAGAGAAAATATTAAAAGTCCATCATTTCCTTTTTGCCCCTTCTTTTCTATCACTTCCTAGAAGAAATCATTATTAATATTTTGGCAAATATTTGTCCAGACTGCTTTTTACTATGTGTTTACATATATATGAATAAGTGTATATATTTATGTATATAAATGCATATACTTAGGTATATATATACACACACATACATATACGTATACATAATTATATACCCATAAATATACGTGTGGACCCCCACGTGTCTAATTTTCTCATAAACTAACTCATTCTCTGTTAGTTCTGCCACTTGAGTTTTAGCAGTATGTTTTAGAGAACTTTCCATGACGGTAACTGTACAGCTACCTCACTTTGAGGATTAATTGCCCTGGCCCTGCACTCTGGTCCAAGTTCCTCATTCAGGCTTCTGCGGGACAGGCGCTCCTGGAGGGGGTAGATGTCTGGTGTGGTGTGTGTTTCTACTTCAGCACATCTGCTTGTGCTAGTGGGAAGAAGACTGAGGGGCTGAATCTACTCTTTGAGAGCTCAGGGAAGGGTATGATCCAGCTCAGATCTCTTAAGCTCACATGACCTTCTAAATCAGAATGTTCCTAAGTGGAGCCCTGTAGGCATATGTACAGCATGTGTTATACAGCATGAGTTCTTACTAGCATTCTTAGGAGCCTGTCTCATCCAAGTAATAAACTAGGAGAGACACTTTTCTTCCTTTCTTCCAATCCAGCTTTGGTGGAGAAGAGACACTTGACTTCTCTGCATTTGCACCAGCCGCGGTGGTCTGCAGCATTCAGTGCAGGGCAGAGCGTCCACTCTGGGGCCATGCTAGAGCTGAGTGTGCTGTGCTGGGGTGGCTACTTGCCTTCCAGCTCACCTTGGGGACACATCCTGGTACAGTGTAGGGAGTGGAGAAAGGACCTGCACTTGTGGGAAAAGAGTCTTTGCCCCATATCCATGTGCTCCTCATGTAACTAAGAATGTTGCCAGAATCCCTCAGCTCAGCTCTTCCTAATTTAATAGACTTTGCCTTTAAATTCTGGATATCTGTATAGTTGTTTGCTGTTAATGTGGGTGGTTTGATTAACATTAAGTCTATATCTTGCCTGGTGTCCATGTTTATTTTTGTATATGTACATGAATATTCTGGGTTAAAGAAATAATGCAGCCTACTTTACCTGTTTTAGGTTTGTGGATACCGGATAAAACTTCACTTTGATGGGTATTCTGATTGCTATGACTTCTGGGTGAATGCAGACGCTCTGGATATTCACCCGGTTGGGTGGTGTGAGAAAACTGGCCACAAACTCCATCCTCCAAAAGGTTTTGTCAGTTTCTGTTTCATATTTTAAATTCAGTAAAAACTCATTTTCTTACATGCTATGTTAGAATTTTTAAAAATTCAGGCTTTATGAAAATTCAGATAGGTGCAAATTTACCCTTATTGTTCATGATGAAAACACATTTAGTAAAGTAAAAGAAATAAAAGTACAGTCCAGCTTAAGAAAATAAACTATGTTTGCATACTTCTTTTTATGTAACATAACATTTGCATGATACTCAACTTTGACTACAAATAATGTTTACCTGCAAATTTCTATCATTAAATACATACATCTTTGAAAAAACTGATTTGAAAAATTACTTTAAATTAGTTTACATAACTAAGTTTAGTGTAAACTGTTTTAAGCTAATTTTTCAAATCAGTTTTTCAGTATATAGAAAATTCTGAGAAATTCTGCATGAACTTATGGATCGTAATATTTAGGAGATTGGCAAGAAGACTGTAACACCAAAAATTGGCTTAGGTGGGGGGTTGAACTCATAGCAATTACTTTTCTTGTATTTGAGTTCTTTATATTATAGTTCACCAGTGAATATCATCTTTTTCGCTCTCTCCCTAATGTATTCTGTAAATTTTTTTTTTGACAGAGTCTTGCTCTGTTGCCCAGGTTGGAGTGCAGTGGTGCGATCTTCACTCACTGCAACCACTGCCATCCAGGTTCAAGTGATTCTTCTGTCTCAGCCTCCTGAGTAGCTGGGATTACAGGCACCCACCAGCATGCCTGGCTAATTTTTCTATTTTTGGTAGAGACAGTGTTTCCCTATGTTGGCCAGGCTGGTCTCAAACTTCTGGCCTCAAGTGATCTGCCTACCTTGGCCTCCCAAAGTGCTGGGATTGCAGGTGTGAGCCTCTGTGCCGGCCATGTTTAGTAACATCTTGTTCCCTTCTTTTTTAATCATTACATTTATTTTTGTTTACTTGATGTCAAAAATTCAGGTTACTAGTTTGATATTTGTGGCCTATCTCAGGGCTTTAATGCATTAGCCATCCCTTTGTTGTAAGTGAAAAAACAGTGGCAAAGTGATATATAGCTGAAGGATTAAACAAAATCGCATGGGAAAGGTGAGGGTGAAAAAGAAAATCTATAAGCCTTCCATGAATTGATCTCTTACATATGGTAAATTATTAGCTGTTCTTTTCATGGTGCCTTTTGGACTTTGATGAATGTGAAAGAGTGCACATCCGCAGATAAAATCAGATGCTGAATTTCCTTTTTTAAGAAACTGTTAAATTCAATGAAATTGTAAAAAATTAAGGCAAGGACATTTCCCTTATTGTAATTTGCCAGCATCCTTACTTCATAAACCTTTAATTGTCCTTCTTGAGGTGATAGGCCAAAAGGATTTTACCTGTTCCCTTTCTATTATTTCCAAATTCCCACTTGTTTCTGTAAGTTAGTCTTCCCAAAATAGACTAGGTGAGAGAAAAATAAAGAATTTTGACCACTCCAGTTCAGTATCTGTATTGCTAAGGAATTCTACCTAAATGCTGGTAGAAATACCCTGATAGTAAAAAGTGCCCTAGGTGTAATATGTATTTGCTTCCTTATTCCTTTTGTTTATATCCATTACCATTCATTCAGAATTGGAAAATAATAATACAGCTTATTGGAAATAAACATATTCTAAATATCCATAGTTATGAATTATGAGTTAAAATGTGTTTATTGAAAAAGTAATTTGATTGATTTCGGTGTGTTGGAGTTAGAGATAAGTAGGGTTAGAAAACTAAGTGTAAAATATTTTGATATTTGAATCAGTCTGTTCCTATGTGCTTTCTCCAGGTTATAAAGAAGAAGAATTTAACTGGCAGACCTATCTTAAGACATGTAAAGCTCAAGCTGCTCCTAAGTCATTATTTGAAAATCAGAATATAGTAAGTACATACAAAACATGTTTCCTTTCAAAGAAAGAAGTTTTTTGAGTGTCTCAAAGGATCAATTACAAGTGATAACAAAGAGCTATAATAAATTTTATTGACTTGGTAAATAGAGTACTCTTACCTTAATTACAGTTTAAAATTAGCTTAAAATCTTCATGAATGAATATATTTTATAGCCATATTATGGTTGTCTCTTTTATTGCACAGTAGAAGACAAGATAGTACAAGATTCAGGTGAGATTTACAATTAAGATGCGTAAAAAATTAAATTGGCTGAGATATTTTATTGTTATTATCACTTATTTGGTAGTGCTGTTCAAATGGGATTCACATAGCTGGATGAAGGCAGACCTGTTTCAGTTTATATGTAGGAGGTCACTGGAGACTGTGACTTGTCTTCACTGTAGCTTATAGCTTTGCTTGCAGTAAACAGAAGCAAAGTCTGGATGTGTGTCTCTTTTCTACCTCTTGACCTGTATTCCCACCTTCCATAACATGTTCCTCTGTTGGCAGACCTGATTCATGACATTTTTCTTTTCCCAAGTTCTGATCTAGTTGGAAAGAATAAAGAGCAAGCCAGTGGAAAACCAAAATGCCATCTTTATAGATGGTCAGAGCTAAGTTGGAGGACGTGCATGACCTGTATCTGCAGAGAAATAAGCTTGATTCTGAGCCCTAGAATTGAAGAGATTTAATTTTCCTTTTGGCCCCATTCCCCAAGTTCAGGGAACACTAGACCCTTAAGGAGCAGAGTAGAAACTGTGCACCCTGCAGCCCAGCTTTCTTTCTGGTATGATCAGTTCTTCCTTCCCAAAGTCACCGGGCAGGTAGCATTCAGTGAGACAGTGGGGAGAAGCAGTAATGTTTCACTGACCGCATTCCCTCCAAATGGAAATAAACAAACATCAAAAGCAGGGGAAAACCTCCTCATTCCAAAAATCCTCCATTTGAGAAACAGTATAAACCAGTTGGTTTGAGAGCGTCAATCTAATGGCTGGAATGTTCTCTGATTTAATTGAATACAAACCAGGTTGAATTAGAGAACTGACAAATTGTGTTTGTGTGCATGTGTGTTTGTGTGTTTAGGTTACTAATAGTGTCAATGAGCCAGCTTATTATTGTAAAACGACTTAATTGAGAGGATAGCGTAATTGCTGAAATGTAATAGTGCATTGTCAGTTGGTGTGTCAAAACTTATCCCAGGGAGGAAGGTCAGTTCAGTGGAAAACTCAGCAGCCTGCTGTCTCTGCTCCAAATTTCCTAATCCCTGTCTGGTTCTCTGATGATGACTTCAGTCAGGGATTTGATTAACTGCCTTGAACTGTCCTCCTAAATTCTATGCATTGCTAGCATACAACTTAATCTCGGGCTCTGTGTTTCCTATCTAAGAGACAATTTTTTCCATTTCTAGATTGCTCTACCTCAGAATCCTCAAACATTTATGGTCAGAGCTCAGATAAATTTCAGTACTAAATTCATAGTAAAGATTTCTGTGTAGCATTAGTGCCTGTTTCATTCAGACATGACTTATTCTAACATTTTCAGATACACAGCTGTCTACATTTTTACAATGATAGTTGTATAATCATAGTAAAATGAGAGATAGTATCTATTTTGCTTAAAGTAGTTAAAATAATTATAATGATGAGTCTGAACAGTGTTTTTTTTTAAAGGGAAGAAATGACTTATATTGTGTTGTGATTGGCATAATTGGTATCTAGGTATACTAGTCTATAATATATATCTATATCTATCTATCTATATAGATAGGTAGATAAAGATATTTTCCCCATAAAAAATTGTAGGAGATGTTTATACATTACTGTACCTTAAGCATTAACCCTTATAGATCTTTTATTGTTTTTGTTCCATTATCTGAATGACTGATTATCTGTAGATTTCTTTACGTTACCAACTATTTTGAATAGCTGTGTACATCAACAGCCAATTCTTTGCTGCTGTTAGGAATAAGATGTATCTGAAGTGTTGAGTAAAAGTTGTAATAATTTGCAGCCTTTCATATATGAAGATGACCTACTTTCAGTAGAGTACTCTTTTGAGAGAGATTTTCAGAAGTGGGAGTGAATTTGTACTGACTCATGCACATTTTTAACTTGATTAAGTGCATATTTTGTGTGAATAATTTTCATTGTTAAGTCTGTAATCAAGAAAAAAAGGGCAAAATGTGAACTGTATGGTGAATAAAACTTACAGTTTTCTAATTAAGGTATCAAAACGCATGTTAAAATTAATTATTTTAAACTCTGTGAGGTGATGGATTTTTCGTTTTGAGGCCCAGATAGGTAATTGGGTGTAGCAGTAGGGCATTTTTTAAAAAAATTGCTGCTTGTTGGAAAGCGACCCTGCTGTGAAACTGGCATATGATTTTGAAATTATGTGAATACAGCAGTGGATGCCAGGCCTTTGAGCAAGAGGTGCAGAGAGTGTGCAGGTCTTGTGGTTAAGTGTGTGCTTATCTCTAATTAAATCTGTATGTTTCCATAGACAGTGATCCCATCGGGCTTTCGAGTTGGTATGAAGCTTGAGGCAGTAGACAAAAAGAATCCCACATTCATCTGTGTTGCTACGGTAACAGATATGGTGGACAATCGTTTCCTGGTACATTTTGACAACTGGGATGAAAGCTATGACTATTGGTGAGACATTTTCCATTGTTGTGTGCTTTTAAAAATTTAATGTTTATCCAAGTAAACCAAGCACATGGTTTAATAACAGTAAGAATGCAAAGCTTATAACAACAACAAAAAAAACATTCGCCACTTTTTCCTATTACAGATTTTTAATTTTTACCTGTTCAATATGGCATGTATTTTAAATAACATCCGTTAATTCTACTTTATGATTTGTATTTTATTGACTTCCTACCATGGAAGTGCAGCCTCTACACCCCACATTCCTAACGTATGTTCACACGTATTTTAACCTTCCCTTCTTATTTTCATGCCCACCAGCTAATTTAAGCATTCATAATAGCTGAGTACAAAATATATTGAAGAATATTATTTTTAATCATTGCAGTTTTTAGATACACTGCACAGAGAAGTAAAAGCAACATATGTTAAAATTATGTAATTATAAAATAATTATAATAAAGCCATTGTATTTTGATTCAACAGTTGCAATAAGGATTTTTCATACCCAATTTGTGTTCATTGATTGCTATAATTCAGTTTCCTGGTAAAAGGCATTTCTAAAGTGTTTAGTTCCTTCTAGAGTACACTTGAATTGAGAACATTTTAGAGAAGTAACAGCTGTCTTTATAAAATACGGCTTGTGTCACAGGATAAGTGAATATTAACTTATATAAATATTGCTAAATTTCAGGGAGGTTTGTTTTGTGACCTTACTTTTTAGTGTCCATATATTTAAACATTCTGTAGACCCATCGATAATTTCCATTACTTCTCAGATGGGATTCTTAGATACTTAGCAGTTTTACTTGAATTGTCTAAAAAGGAAGAGATGTTGACATTCATTTGCTATTCGTATTTTTTAAATGCTTTCTATGTCACCAAAAATGTAGACAATTAGTTCCATGATGAGATTACAGACCCAAGTACAATTAGGCCTTCTGTATCTATGGGTTGCACATCCATGGATGCAACCAACCACAGATCAAAAATATAAAAAATTGAAAACAGAATAATAAAAGTAATACAAATATACGGTATAACAATTATTTACATAGTATTTACATTGTATTAAGTATTCTAAGTAATGTAGAAATGATATAAAGTCTGTGGGAGATAAAGTATACAGAAGGATGTGTGTAGGTTATATGCAATTATTAAAGCCATTTTATAAAGGGGACTTGAGCATCTTTAGATTTTGGTGTCCAACGGGGCTTCTGGAACCAATCTCCTGCTGATACCAAGGCATGACTGCACTTTCAAATATTTTGTGTTTTCCCCAGCTTTTTTCTGCAGAGCATAATTTCTCCTCATAGGACATTTTTACATTCAGTTTATAATAAAATTTTTTCACTGAAATACAGTCAATTTCTAATATACACAAAAATATTATAATAGAGCAGCCCTACTGTAGCCTTTACTCAGCACCAACAATTATCAACTTATATCCAGTATATTTCCTATGTATTCCTACTTCTAAAATCCCAACTCTGGGATTGTTTTGAAATCAATTACAAATATCGGAGCATTTTACCTGTGAATATTTCAGTATGTATCTTCTAAAGAGAGGAATTATTTTTATTTTTTAAAAAATAATAGTAACTATGATGTTACTAACATACTTAAATATTTTTCCCAATTATTTTAATGGGTTTTTGTTTGTTTTTAGCGATGGCTTTAGGTCCAATAAGGTGTACACTTTGTGATTGCTTTGCTTGACTTTGTTTAATTTACAGATACCTATTCCTCTTCTTTCTTCCTTTTTGGTTGTAGCTTTTATTAAAGACACCAAGTTGTTTGTACTGTTGAGTCTCTCAGTTTGATTTGCTGATTGAAACCTTGTCTTATTGTTTACTGGGTTCTTTTCTTTCCTCCTATTTACTGTAAACTGGTGGGTTTTGTTTCATTTAAAATTGTTTGGCCCACCACAATGGCTCATGCCTGTAATCCCAGTAACTTAGGAGGCCAAGGTGGGAGATCACTTGAACCCAGGTGTTTGAGACCAGCTTGGGCAAGATAGCAAGACCCCTGACTCTACATAAACATTTCAAAAACAATAAAAATGTTCTATACCTATTTTGAATAGGTGAGTGGATGAGAAAATGTTAACTTTGGAAATAGTCTAAATCGGTCCTGAATCAAACTTGTGTTTCCTTCTGTGCTTGGTGGAGACTATGATGATGGTACTACTGGAGCTCCAGGCCTTTTCTTAATGAATGATGCTAAAGCAACAATTAGAATCTGTTGAAATGAGAATGTTTTCTTTTTAAAGTTGTGGTTTATTTGAGAATTTTTTTAAGCTTTTGCCTGATTTAAACAAAATGGGTGAATGTCAGTTTATTTTTGTGGTCTCATAAGTATTACAGTGTTGTAAAGGTATAAGTTGCTGATTTGACATAAGATGTGTTGCCTTTAAAAACATTCTTGTGGAAAAAAGCAAGGAAGGAGTCTAAAAGAATTTGCCACGTTCATTTTTTGATGCCAAATATCTAGGGAACAAACAGGAAGGATCCTGGGTTCTAAAAAAGACCCTGGATTCTAAAAAGATCCCGGATTCTAAAAATAACAAAGAAAAGAAAAAACAAATTGATACCTTTTAACTGCAGTTTTGTGCTTTTATGAGCACAAACTAATTATTTTTAGGATGGAATGTACCTTGAGGATTACTTAGACTTCCAGCTACTGACATGAAATCATATTTTGTTAATTGTCTGAAAAAGAAAACGAAAACAGTGTGTTCTCTTCTACAACATGCAATTAAGGCACAATGGAAATTGCTTAAGTGCTCTGGAATTTCTCCACTTAGTTACTAAGTATTATGCTCTTTGATCTTTGAATTTCGGAATGGTTTTTATCTGCCTAAATTACTTAGGTATGTAATTGAGGTTACAGATTGGATTGCCTTTCCCAATTTAAAATAGTTTGGAAATGAGATATTTTTTGCTTTGAATTGAATAGTAATTCTATATGTTTTTTACATTAGTGGGAATTTGAAAATATGTATGTGTCTGTATATATTTGTGATACTACATGTTGCAGTAAAACATTTCTGACTTCCAAAGAAGAACACAATAAAAATTTAGGTAGGATTGAAAAAGTAGTTTTCTATGAAACAAAAATGGTATGTATTAGAATAAAAATGGTTTCACCTTTGGGTTTTTTCTGTGCTTTTGTTACTGATAATTGATAGCTGCTCAATTCTATCTCCTTGACAGTTGTTAGGTTTAGGAATAATGCTAGGTATTATAGAATATTGGCACTAGAAAGGACTGTAGGGATCCAGGAAGGTAGATGAGCACCTCTAGGCTAGCACGCCCTCCTGCCACAGCAGCCTGTCTCCTGATTATCCTCCTGCTGCCTGAAGGTTGGGCTCTGGGGCAGAACACAATGAGTACAGTCACTTCCTCTTTTTTCGCAGGGACTAGGAAGTAGGAAGGAACCTTTCTTTTAAAAAATGTTATTTTCACGTACCCTTATCTTTTGGGATCCAGGAAGGGATGACAACAGGAATTTGCCCATTGTTTAGTAAAAGGCCTAAGTGAATGAGGTTGCAGTTTCAGCCATTTTTGATTCCATTGTATTTTGATGTCCCAGTGGAGTCAGGGCAAAAATGAGCAACAAAAAGATCTATGAAAAAGAGAAGCGTTGTTAGTGAATTAGAAAAAATAGATTAGTGGAACCTTTCCTGATTGCCTCTTTTTCATAAACTTATTTTTTAGAGATGAATCTCTTTTACATTTATATATTAAAAGCAATAGTAATTTTATGTGTCTCCCTAAAATCATGTTGAAAGCTCGTCAGTTTCTTAGAGCAGTGTCAGTTAACAGGGTTATCACTATTTGTTTAAATTTGGGAAGCACTGGTTGGTGGTGGTGATGGGAAGTTTGTGGAGATCAGTGGAACCTGGGCAGTTTTAAACTTCAGTCCAGAGGGTCTTGGGACGGAGAGAAACTAAACACCACTGTCTTGGCTGCAGGGTTAGATGGTGGTTAGTGCTTAATTTTTAGAACCAGCTGCTTGGAGGGGTGATGGCACTTGGAGGCATGATGGAACTTGGGGGGAAGGACAGACTCAAGCTCCCTGGAGGGCTCTTGGGGAGGGCTTCTTAAAGGACACAGGCTTTGAGCCGGACCAAGAAGGAATGGTGCTTAGAGGTTGGGATGGATATTCCTGGTTAAGGAAAGCACTTTCTTGTGTATTGGCCTGGGGGTAGGATGTGTTTGAGTAATGGCAGCCAGTATATTCAGTGCATTACTTAACACTTCTAAACTTTAGTTGTCCTCTAAAAGGGATTAATAATCATACCTGTCTCATCAGGTGTCATGGAAATTAAAATAAGAGTTTTAGAAACAAATCGATTTGCAAAAGGTTGAAGAGCGATAAGGGATATTAAGCAAAGAAGTTAGGCACTGAAAGCAAAAGGATTATTGCTTGAGAGGAAGTTGACTTCTATGGAGGGTTCCCTGCACCGTGAGCATTTTTGAGCTTGGTTTTTAGATAGAAGGCAGGAGGCCACTGTCGAGGGAGAGTGGAGATTTCTGAAACTAGTGGTTATTGTTGACACCAGGTCTCCTAGAAGCAGCTACGCTCAGAAAGAAAGAAGCTTTCTTTTCCCTCAGCCTGGAGAAAAGGAAGAAGTAAAAGGAAAATTTGATACAAGCGTGATGAGATGCTATCCCCTTTATCTTTTCCAAGTATTCATTATGTTAACAAAAGATTTTAAGCTTGAAGCAAATCAATACTATTTCAAACAGCTACTGTGGGTAATGGAATTGGACATCAATTAGGGATGGAAAGGACCACTTGATGACTCAGGCTGATGAGGTTTGGGGTTCAGTAGTAAAGTGCAGAGTAATGGAGGCCCTAGGAGTTCACGTATAAGGGGAGCCAGGAGAGTTGAATACTGGGTAATAAATTGGCAGAATCATCATGCTCTGGGTTTAGAAAGTGGAGAAGCCAAGTGACCTGTATTTCTTAAAATAATCTAAACCACTCTTGCTTAACGGAGAGACTTCGATGTTTTCCATACGTAAGCGTCTTGCAGTATTCTCCTTTGACTCTGCCTGATTCTGCAGAGCCCAGCATGTGTGCATTAGTTTTTGTTTAGCTTTTGGCTGTCGTTGATAAAACCAGAATACCTTTTTTTTCCACCCAAGTACTTGGTGAAATCACTTAATCTCTTTGATTTCCATAAAATGAGGATCTTCATGTCTCCTAACTTTATCCATTTATCATAAGCATGGATTTTTTTTTTTTTTTAATGAGTTATTTCTTTGGTTTCTGGCCCTTTCAGGATTTACTGGCTAGGTCTCATTGGGTATAATTTGCATTTATACATGAAATGAACTTCAAAAACATTTTTTGAAATGGACTTCTTTCATGATATACATAAACGTCCAAAAGAAAGAGAGACAGAGTACAGCAATCAGGGATTTGCCATACTTTTTACCTTTAGTTTTTCTTCATATTTCTTTTCAGTTACATTTCTACTTTTGAACACCAGATGGGACTAAGAGATGACTTGTTTTACAATAGCAACAGAAAGGCTATCACAGCCTTCCAACTTTTGAGTGAACTGTTGTTTGCTTATTAAGGGAGTATAAGTAAAATAGATGAAAGCAGTAATATTTTTATCTTCTCTGTTGAGACAGCTTCTTTGTTTTAAATGGTGACTTTGATCAATATCTAGATATTATTTAAATTTTATATTAGATTCAGATAGCACAGAAATGAGTGACCATGAAGAGGTCACAATATTTTCCGTAATTGCAATTTATGTATTCAATAAAATCAAAAGAATAATGTTCACTGTTTCTACTTTAAAATAAATACCGTGAGTCCAGCAGATAATTATAAAAACTACTCTGTAAGTTCGATTAGATTGAGAAGGAAGAATTAACTATCATATATTTGTTATTTTTTTCATTTTTATGAGGCTATATATGAATGAATATCCTTCCCTAAAATAAAGGGAGTAATTCATTAGTAATAATCCATTACCAAAATGATTTTTTAGGGAAACACTAGAATATCTGGAAATAGGGCTCCATAGCCTTGTTTGTATAATTTATAAAAGTACATCTTAATGAATTGCGTATTAAAATGTCTTTTATGAAAATATGTATTGTAAGAAATATAGTGATTGCTGTATGAACATGGCATGGACCTAGCAGTGCTTGTTTTCTTTTCATATTCCTAAAATAATGACATGAAAAATAGTTTGGGGTAGGGATAGTATGAGATAACAACTGAATAAAGGAAGAAGGCTTTACGTATTAAGGAAAAGGTATTTTCTACTGAAATAAGTTCTGAGAACAATCAGCATTCAGTAGCGATTACATGAACTCAGCATGTACTATTGTCCCAGGCTGCGCCTTTAGAAGGGTTGGCTTGGAAAGAGGTGACTGTGTGCTAATCTCAACCACTTAGGACGTTTCTTAGAAAGTTCTTTGTTTCACTATTCATAAGACTTCCTTATTCCCTAGAAACTCCAGCCACACTATTACCTTCCTGACTTTCTACCTTCTAGCTAGTTTCCCATCCAGAGGGGTATATTGAGATTTCCTGATCTCACTATAGACTCAACAGACCTCCTGGTTAGTATAGCAACACTGGACTCCTTGGCACCTTTTAGACCAACGTCTTCCAAACTGTGTTCTGTAGAACACTCAGGTTAATATGATGTTAATAGACTGAAACATGTTGCATGTTGAGAAGAGGAATACATAGCATAAGTGTGGCTAGGAACAAGGAATTAGATGTACCAGCTACGCATGCTGATAAAGAGGCTTTGGAAATAGATGCTTGACTGTAGTAGAGAGGACAGAAAGGGGAAGAAAGAGGTAAGGAAAAGAGAGTAGTAGTTTGTCATAATACCTGGTTTCTGCCATTCTAATGGGTAACAGGAATAGCATGTTGGTCATTAAGGATGATTGAGCTCCCTGCCTTTGTACATTTACCCTTAGCAATGCTGAAATAATTTTAGTTTGCCTATGTACACACAGTCTAAGTTTATTGTTGCACATGGTTTTAATGAATGTGTATTTTTGCTGCAGTTGAAGTTACAGGATATAACAAAATTTGCGGGCAAAAAAATTGCATAGTGTCAAATCCATAGGATATTTATCTAATAAAAATCCACTTGGTATTAATATATTAGAAGAGTAAACATTTCTTTGGTTTAGCATTTTTTTCCAAATTAGATTGATTGTAATAAATAGAACTCTGTAAAGTGTTCATAATCTCTAATTTTCTTTTTATTTTTACTAGTGTTTGTGAGTTTATCCTGATAATTGCAGTTTTTTAATTTGTGCAACTTACAGGTGTGAAGCATCAAGTCCACATATTCATCCAGTTGGTTGGTGTAAAGAACATAGAAGAACCCTTATTACTCCTCCAGGTGTGTGTTTTTTAATATGTCTAATATTATTCGTAGACTTCAAGTGTAGGCAGACTTTTTCTGTAAAGGGCCAGATAGTAAATATTTTCAGCTTTGCAGACCATGCATTTTCTGTCACCACTATTGAAATCAGTTGTAGTGCAAAAGCAGCCATAGACAATAGGTAAACCAATATGCATGGGTGTGTTGCAGTAACAGTGTGTTTACAAAAACAGGCAGCTGACTTGCAGGCATTAGTTTGCTCACCCCTGATGTACCTTCATATATATTAAGTATTGCCTTAGTTCATGAAAGAGTCTCAAATTTTGTCTTTCTTGGAAAAAAAAGTTCTGTTTTAAAAGATCTTTCATTTCTCAACTTGAAATTCATTTCTATACTTTATATTAGTATATATTTAAATATATTGTCTAACCATAGAAGCAAATTGTCTAAGGCTTGAACAAGTACGGAAAAATGGATAAGAGGAACAGCATTTGTGGATTGGAGAGCAGACTTCATGTCAGCCTCAGTCCTCACAGAAGCACGGTGTTCACATTTAAGTGAGAAATTGAAGCTTGAGATTTTTTTACTTAGTTTAGAACTCACACGCTCACTTTTCCTTTTCCCATCGTGATTCCTGGTTCCAAAATAGATTTTGCACCTTCATGCTGGTGGTGCCTCTGTGTTCTCTGAAGGAGCTTCTGCTGTCTGCCTCTGGCCATAGAGCCTTCTCAGCTCATTTGCTGCCTGTTTAACAGGGAACAGTATAACTGCTGATAAATAGTGTCCTTGTGTTATATCATTTTCAGTTTCTTTTATGTGCTAAAGAACAGATTGTGTGGCTTCTTCATAATCAAGACAGTGTATTTCTGAGTATATCATACTTAAGGTGCCATGGCCACTCCTGCTATGGAAAGACAGGGTCATCAAACAGAAAGCATCCCTGCACAGTAGGTGATTGCTGAGTGGACACTTACAGGAGTAATGAAGACTGCCTTTATCACAGAGAGAGGATGAGTCCTGGGTTTACTAAGAGCTGTTTTGTGAATGTAGCCTGCAGCATGTAAGCAACAAAATTGGGGAGCTTCAAATTCTATTCTATTTGTACAGCTGGTTTCATTTTTAAGTTTGTCCCCTGTGGCTTGATCAGTGTCTCACTTATAGAGTGTTTGATCATTTACTCAACTCAGGGGGACCAGTCATTCCTGTAATAGGTAAGTCAAGTCCCATCTACTCCCTGAGTTTTCTCATATATTAAAGGATGGAAACCCCCTGTCTTGACTAATTTATAGTACTGTTTTGAAGGTGAAATAGCACTGACATAATGAAGGGTTAAAACAAAGTATTGGCCAGGCACCTATGGCCCATGCCTGTGATCCCAGCACTTTGGGAGCCTGAGGCGGGAGGATCGCTTGAGCCCAGGAGGAGTTCAAGACCAGTCTGGGTAACATAGTGAGATCCTGTCTGATAAAAAATTTTAAAAGTCAATCAGATGAGATGGCATGTACCTGTAGTCCCTGCTTTTTGTGAGACTGAGGCAGGAGGATTGCTTGAGCCCCGGAGTTCGAGGCTGCAATGAACTATAATTATGCCACTGCTCTCTAACCTGGACAACAGAGCAAGACACTGTTTGAAGGAAGAAAAAAAGAGAAAGAAAGAGAGAGAGAGAGAGAGAAAGAAGGGAGGGAGGGAGGGAGGGAAGGAAAGGAAGGAAGGAAGGAAAAAAAAAAAAAAAAAAAGAAAGGTATTAATGATTTGATGGCCCCAAATGTAGTGCTGCCTGGAAGATTTCTCATGTTCAGCCCTCCTTTGTCTGTCTTACGGCTTACAAAATATTAGTGGCCAGTGATTACTGTAATTGGTTTTTGGCCACTATCACCATCTAAAATGCGGTGAGGATCCTTTTAGATTTCCCAGTTTGTTATCAATTCTTCTTTCTATACCGCCATTTTTGGTGATCAGAGATCGGATTAACTAACAATGTACCAGTGAACAACAGTGGATTCCTGGTTATGTACCCTGGAAGGAGTGGTGTAAGGTGCTATTGCTGGCTTCGTACATAAGGCAAAGAACCAAGCCATCTATTCCCTTTCCTGGACTTTTATAACTCAGTTGAAGAGAAAAAAATACCTTTCTTTTAAAAGCTATTTTTTAAAATACAAAAGTTGCATGTGAAATACCAAATGCACGACAATGTGAATAAACATAATGCCATTAAAATAGTAAAAATGTTAAATTTTATGTTATGTATATTTTACCACTATTAGAAAATGCAAAAATAAACAAAACTGTCAGATTGTGAGACTGGTTTATTGGGCCTGTGCTGTTGCTACTCTTTGCCCCATGACAAAAAAGATACCCTTTCTCTGATCCCTTTTCTCTAAGGGCAAATGCCTGGCTCATCTCTGATCTGTCAGAAAAGAAGGATCCTAATCACTGGGCTTCCTAGACAGCTGCTTCCATCACCCCCTGGTACTTCACAGATTTCTCCATCCTCTGACCTGCCCTGTTGGCCACCACCACGTTTCCGTTCTTTCTAAACACGTAGCCTCTCTTTATTGTTCATTTCAGAAATTAAAATCTTCATGCCTTTTACAATTATTTTTACTTCAAATTACCAAATTATATATTAATACATGCTTGTTTTTAAGTTTAGAGTGGACTGTAGTTACCTCTATTCATATTTTAATGGTTTGTCCTTATGTGTTTCCAGGAAAGCCTTTTTGCCTATGTGAAATCACACACTTGCATGCATGCACCTCAGTTTCATTTACTTGAATGTTCTGATTTAAATATTTAAATTGTGCAAGATATATTTCTTAAAAATGTCATAAAATGTATGCACAGAACTATGTTTGCATCTTTACTCTTTAACTATTTTACTTTGAAACAATTTCAAATGTACAGAAAGGTTGCAAGAACAGTGCAGAACTCATACCTCTGACCCAGAGACCCAGTCAAGTTTTCCAGTTGTCCTAGTGATGTCATTCCTAGCAAAAGGATCTCAGTTGTCAGATCCCTCCAGCTTCTATTGATTAGTCTCACCTTGATTTTTATGACCTTAATATGTTTGAGGATTACAGATCTGTCGTTTTGTAGCATGTTACTTAATTTGAGTAGGATTGGTATTTCCTCATAATCATACCCAGGCTGTGCATTTTTGGCAGGAATATCATAGACCCAGTGCTGTGTTCTTACTGTCTTCTCTCAGGTGACTCATGATGTCAGTCTGTCACTTTACTGGTTGCTTTTACCACTATTGGATCACGATGGTGTTTGCTAGGTTTGTCCACTAATGGAGCTATTTTTTCTCTGTAACAAATAAGTATTTTGTGGAGATACTTTGAGACTGTGTATCTCATCCCAATGTCATTTGTTGGTCTTAGCATCTGTTGAAGTTTCTAGGATGAGTTATATTATTCTGGCAGTGCTAAACTGTAATTTTTCTTACTCCATCATTCCTTATAAAAAATGAGTTGATGTTTTCTGCGAAGAATAACTTTTCTTATCTTTCTATTTTTTTGTTCAATTACTATTTTTATCAGTGAGTTATAATCGATTGCTAGCATTATTTATTTTCATATTCAGATTTTCTCAGATATTAACCAGTTAGAGCCCCTTTAGGCACATTCCAATGTCCTTTTGAAATTTCTTATCATTTTTTGAGGATTTCTTATTTTCTGGCATAGCTAGACTTATCTCATGCTTTCCCTGACCCGACCCTAGAGTCACCCATTTCTTCAAGGTTCTATGCTGCTTTTTAGTAGAGAATGATATTTTGAAACTACGATCTGAGCACTAAATGTGCTTATTTACTACAGGAGTATTGATGTTTCCAGGCCTTTCAGCCGATGTGGCTAGGGAATACATTTGTATAAATATATAGAAAAATTTATATTTATGCCTATTTCTATATCTGTTGATACATACATTGAAAAGTATGAATTTATACCAGTAGTTTCAATTCAAATACAACACATCAGCTTCATTCTAGTTTCCTTCAAACCTGGCTAACATTATCTCCAATATATTTGCTGGTCTTCTAAGTCCCCTTTAGTGTGGCTAATTTCCCACCATACTGGGCCACTGTTTATTCCTGCTCATGCCTACCTAATGGATTTGGGGCCCTGGAGGGAACAAAAGAGGGCAGGAGGAAGGAGGAGGTATTTTTACACATTCTGTTAATAATGTTCCATCATTTGTGCATGTTTGTCGGAACTAACAAATATGAAGTTATATCTGGAATCGTTCACATATTACTATATACAAATTTACCACATTCTTTTTAATAAGTACTTGCTACTTATGTACATTTTTTTGCACATTTGTATGTTGAAGGTCATTTAACTTAGTTTTCACATTTGCAAACAGTCATGTGTTGCCGTTGTTACATATGTGAAATTTTTCTAGATTCATAGAAATAAAATTGCTAAAGGGTATTTGTGTGTCTGTCTTGTCTTATCTGAAAATATAAATTATATATATACATAAAATTTTCATTTTAAAAGTAATAGAAAAATCATGATCAAAATGAAAACAATTTCATTATTACAAATGGCTCTGAATGTGTGAGTAGTTTAATGTCATGTATATATGCACATAATTTTCTAGATTATAATATTTTATAGTTTTTGTTGGACAGTTTGTTATTCTTGCTATCATTTTGGTTAAACCTCATAGGATTTACATTTTTCTTTCTTAGGTTATCCAAATGTGAAACATTTTTCTTGGGATAAATACTTAGAAGAAACCAATTCTTTACCTGCCCCTGCAAGAGCTTTCAAAGTGGTGAGGCGATACATTTTATACTATTTGATTAATTTGTATGGATGAGATCACTTATTGAAATTTGAGAACAGAACGAGATGGTGTTAGTAAACCAGAATAGAAATGAGAAAAAAGTAAAGCACAAAATAAGATGTTTTTGAATTTTTACAGTTTTTAAAGTCAAAATTGTTATTGGGATTTTTGTTGTTGGCATCTAAAAAATGCTTTGATTTTGGACTTTAAAGTCTCCTTGGAAAATAATTCTTCTTGATACCACGTGGGGCGAACTGTTGAAATCTTACATCAAGCTTCTGTCTTTTTAGCTAGATATTCCAAAAGACCAGAAACAGAACGTGAAAATGTTTTCCAATAAAAACTACATTTGATAATTTATTTGGATTTGTTTATGGCAAGCTGAGATGCTATTTTATAGCAGTAAAATAAAACATCAAGTTTACCGTCTCTTCCTCTGTGTCTCACCCTGTAAAATGTTTTGTTGTGGCAGAAACCTCCACATGGATTCCAGAAAAAAATGAAGCTTGAGGTTGTAGACAAAAGGAACCCCGTGTTTATTAGAGTAGCAACGGTGGCAGACACAGATGATCACCGGATAAAAGTAAGTGTTGTGTGGTGGTTGTTGGCTTTGTCTTTGTTATAAGACGTTTTGGATAAAAAGTTTGGTAGATACTTAACTTGTGAAGTCCTGTAATTAGTAAAATCATAGGAATATGCAAAATAATTGGCTGTGCATCTTAGTACGAAGCATTCATCCTGGTTTGTCCTTTAATCTGCATAAAACAATTTATCTTTAATTATGAATGACTTAATATTTTGAGTATGTATTGGGAAAAAGAAAGTAGATACAACATGTTAAAGTAATATATTCAAAAGAAAATATAATACTTCATCTCTGATAGTGTGCCCTTTTTTAAAAAAATTAAAGATTAATGTTTTTGTGCAGTGAATTAGAAGTAGTCTATTCAGAAGAACCTCCTGTCTCTTAATATAGGCCAAGTAAAACTAGATAATTTCATGAATAAAATCAGATTTTAATTAGTTAGATTAATAAAAGCCAAAAGCCTCTTACAAAGTAAGCAAAAGTTTAGGGAGATGGAACCACTTTCTTATGTCCAGCTGTGATCTTGAAGGACAGGTCAGGAAAGGAGCTGGAAGACCTTGTCTCTTTTTCTGACTTCAGCATTAACTTCACCCTCAAACCAGAACAATGCCCATTCTATTTACTTCATACAATTGTTTGGAATTTCTGTTAGGAATAATCATAGTTATAACAGCAAGACATTAAATGTACATGATGTTTTACAGGGTAAGCCTGTTCTCATGTTATTTAACATTTGTGGGAAGTATATGTTGTTACGATTTTTATTGATGAGGCAGAGGCTCAGAAAGATTGAATGAATTATTAATTACTGGCAGTAGCAGAATGACCTCTTAGTTCTAAGCTGTAGGAGTCTAAACTTAAGCTCTTAAAAAAAATTGCATTCTCAGCTCTCTCTAATAAGATAGTGTATAAGAAAATAAATTACAAAATAACATGAAAAACTACACAAATGGTGGCATTTCTATGGAATGGACATTTTAACATTAAATTCACTATTGTTAAGATTGTAGAATCATATAGGATTTGAGAAAATGTTATAAATACAAGGCCTGTGCTAATTGTTTTTTCAAGTGCATTATCTTATTTATACTTAGTAGTAATGTAAGTTATAAAGCAATCAGTATTTTAGAGCTAGAAGTATTTTTAAAAATAAAATCTAGACTAGTATTCAAAGAAGTTTACAATTAAGCACAGTATGGCTTTTATAAATCAGATTGCTCAAAATTGAAAAAAAATACTGGTTTGAGTGAATGAAAATTTAATTATCACATATGGCTGGTGGGAATGTAAAATGTCTCAGCCTTTCCAAAGAGCAGTTTGGCAATAGGTTAACAAAATCATAAAATGTTGTTTATCTTTTCATTTAAGAATGTTAAGGGAATAGCCAAAAGGAATATGCAAAAATAAAAACTCCAAGGAAAATATATCAGTGCTGTTTATAGTGCTTAACATTGGAAGCAACCACAGTAGCTGATGGGTAAAACACATTATATCTACATGATGTTAAAATTAAATATTTTAGAAGACTGTTTAATATCAGCAAGTGAAAGGTTCAGGTTTACACTATGTACGATATCTGCTATTGTTTTTTTACAAGAATACATACATAAGCAATTATGGAAAGAATCATATCAAAGGTAATGGCAGTGCTTCTTTCAAGGAGCCGAAACTATAAATGATTAGGTTTTACATTTTAATTGTTTAGTTTCAGGAGTATATATTACTTTTATAATTAAAAGTATAGATAAACTTTCTTATTTTACATGTGAGAAATGTTTGTCCCAGAAAGGTCAAATATGCTAACGTGGGTGGTCCAGTTATTAGCGGGAAAAGTGTAGACTAGAATCCACCTCTGCTTCAAGGCAGATTCTCTAATACAACGTCCTGTTCAGTCCTTAACACCCCAGAAATAGCTGGCTGTGAGGGGTACAGTTGACAATCTTTTGGTAATTACTGGAATGAATTTCACAGCTGAAAGTGAGCCACGGAACAAATAGCTTTGTATTTATGAAGTCTTCAAAAGGCCCGTATACAGGAGACAATGACTAAGTTTCAGAATTCATCAGAAGCATCTGAGAATATAAAAAGCTTGCAACAGTAGGAGTTTAATAAATGGGAGATAAGACAGCAGGAAGGCTCATCTTTTTCAAGAAGGAAGAAGAAGAGGAAAATGTAGACCAAGTTATTAGTGTAGCTTCATATTTTAAGTTTTTCAGGGATAAAGTCAACTCGAGTAAAATCAACTTTTAAGATTACATATTTTACACCGTGAGCTATTATGGTAAAACAGTTAACATTGTTCTATATTTGATCAGATGCCATTGAAGAAAAATGGCCAGAATGGTTTTGCTCTCATTTGTGTTTTTAGTAACAGATTATTCCTGCCTCATTCCTTCCCACTACCTAGTCTGGCTCCCTAGAGGCAAAAACTGTAGGCTCCTTCAGCCCTTGCTTAGGACATTTTATCTGTAATTTTCTAAAATATTAACTATATTCTGCTCTTTCTCAGTTCATCTGTTTTACATATGGCTTATTTTCTTCATGTTGTAGTAATTCAAGATTTAGATCTTAACCATTCTTCCTTTCCCCTTATTTTTTCAGTAGTTATTTTACATCGCTTGGTTCTTACTGACTGTTGAACAAAGTAGTCTTTTCCTTGTGACTTTTCCTGGGAGTCAGTAATTAAGGGTTTGGTTTTTCTGTCTTCTTAGATTTTTGCAAGTGCGCCAATAGATCTGACATGCCTTTGAGTCAAAAGCCCAAGTGTATATTTCAGTATTCTATCTGTATCTTTTTTTTTTTCTTGAATTCTTTCTCATACTCAGCAGCCACCTATTCCACTGTGGGTGGAAATACTCTAATCCTGGTACAGAGCTTTCATCCTGACACTTCTCCTTGCCGATAGACTACGTTGTATTTCATTTTCCTGGATCACATACTTTGTTTTTCTTGAGATATTCTCTTACCTTGCTGACAGATGCCTTTTCATATCTTCTGTGGGATTTCGATTCTAGGATTAATTTATTTCTGAGCTTAAGAAAGTAGATTCATTGCAAAGGACATTATTTTAAGCCCATATATATGTACTTTTACTAACTACATTCTATTTCATCATATGAATATACCACAGTTTATTTACCAGTCTCCTGATGGTGGACACTGTGGTTACTTCTAGTTGTTTTCTAATACAACAATGACTTACTGAGATGATCAAGGCTGTTACTGCCAAATAGCTTTCCAGAAATATCTCAGCAGTTAACACTCCTGTCAGTGGTCTGTGACAATGCCCATTTATTCTCGTTCTCAACCAGCTGTAGGAATTACGAAAATATGAACATTTTTGACAGGCCAATAGGAGAAGAATGACATCTTCTAATTTAAATTTGTAGTTTTAAAATTGTAAATGAAAGCCGTTGTCTTTTTATTTTGAGACAGGGTTTCACCCTGTTGCCTAGGCTGGAGTGCAGTGGCATGGTCTTGGCTCACTGCAGCCTCAACCCCCCAAGCTCGGATGATCCTCCCACCTCAGCCTACTGAGTAGCTGGGACTATACTTAGCTAATTTTTTGTATAGATGGGATTTGCCATGTTGCCCAGGCTGATCTTGAACTCCTGGGCTCAAGTGATCTTCGGCCTCCCAAAATGCTGCGATTATAGGCATGAGTCACTGAGCCTGGCCTCAGATTTATTGTCTTTTCATATGTTTACTAAACATTTATATTGATGTTTTGGATAATGAGCTATTTGTGCCCATTTTTCATCTTTCTGTTGGGTTTTTCATCTTTTTGTGCTGACACATTACATTTTTATGAATTGAAGAGTTCTTGCCACAGGTGTAGCAATTGTATTTTTGGGAGTTTCTTATGGGTCTTCCATTTTACTTTGTAATACTTGCCATTCTGAAGCTTTAAATTTTCATGTAATCAAATTGATCAGTCTTTTACTGTGTGGTGTCTTGCTTACAAAGGCTGACCCACTCTGTGATTATAAATAAGTCCATTCAAACATTCTTCTCAAATGTTTATTGTTTAGTTTTTAGTGTTTGAGCGTTTTATCCATCTGGCATCTCTTGCCTTGTAAGGAGTGAGAGGTTCATAGACTTTAAAAAAGAAATCTAATTGGTAAACTTTTTTTTAATACCTTTGATCGGTTGATATAACTGACAAACTTGATTTAAAATTAAAATAATCTAAAGCATTTCAGTATATCCCTTCATCCTATAAGGTAAAAAAAAAATGTGTAATAACCTAAAAGAAACATAGTCAGTTCCTAGTGACTGCCACTAGAAGACCAAGTGCCCTTATACGTGGTGGCAATAGAGATGGTAGCAGTGACTGCTTTATAATAAGACGAAACTTTTCACACTAGGTAAGATACAAAAGGAACCTAAGTATCCAGCAATTGGATAAATGAATAAAGAAAATATGGTATATATACACAATGGGATATTATTCAGCCATAAAAAAGAATGAAATACTGTCATTTTCAACAACATGGATGGAACTGGAAGACTTTTTGTTAAGTGAAATAAGCCTAGCACAGAAAGATAAATATTACGTGTTCTTACTCATATATGAGTCCTTAAAAAGAGATTGAATTCAGCCTGGTGCAGTGGCTCGTGCCTGTAATCACAGCACTTTGGGAGGCCAAGGCAGGCAGATCACGAGGTCAAGAGGTCGAGACCATCCTAGCCAACATGGTGAAACCCTGTCTCTACTAAAAAAACTACAAAAATTAGCTGGGCATGATGGCACACACCTGTAGTCCCAGCTACTTGGGAGGCTGCGGCAGGAGAATTGCTTGAAACTGGGAGGCAGAGGTTGCAGTGAGCTGAGGTCACACCATTGCACACCAGCCTGGGGACAGAGCGAGACTGTCTCAAAAAAAAAAAAACCAAACTCATGAGGACAAGAGAGTATAACAAGGGTTGCCCGAGGCTGGGAAGTGGCAGGGAGTAGGGGATAAAGTATGGTTGGTTAACAGGCACAAAAATACAGTCAGGGAGAATGAGTGAGATCTAGTATCTGTTAGCACATTAGGGTGACTATCGTTAACAGTAATTTATTAATATATTTTAAAATAATTAGTAGAACTGGAATATTCATCAAACAAAGAAATGATAAAAGCTTGAGGTGATGGATAGCCCAGTTACCCTGATTGATCATTATACATTGTATGCCGACATCAAAATGTCACATGTACTTCATAAATAGGTACCCTTAATAATTAAAAATAAAACAATAATAGAACACATATTTGAGAAATACTGTAATTATTTGCAAGGAAAAAATGATTCCTAAAAACACACTGGGTGGAGGGATATTTCATAAATTGAATATGTGTCTAGTAGGCATTGAATTTTTTTAAAAAGTCTTTTTCAACACAATTCCCGAAGGCTTGACATTTACTTGAAAGGTCCTCCTTTCCACTCCTTCCTCTTTACTTTCCCCTGTCATCTTCCCTCCCTTCCTTCCCTGAATTTTTCATTCCTTCTGCAGTATTGATGTTGATCATATGAAGATGTTGTCACACAGTCCCTATTCTCAGGCTGCTCATGGTGTTGAGAAACATGCTAAATATGTCTGTAAAACTATAACCCAAAGAGTGCCTTTGGCAGTGCATTTATAACTGGTTATATAATACATTGAAGGTGGCTCAAAGGTGTCTTTTTTCTCACATTATGAGTGAAGTATTTTGAATAATTGAACTGACTTATTGGGTTTTAAATCTACTTTATGCGTTAGGATGAAAATGATTATGCTGTGGGCAGAACTTTGACTGTAGAAATTTTTATGACTTAATTTGTACTGTTAATGTCCTTTTGTCATCCAGGTTCACTTTGATGGCTGGAACAATTGCTATGATTACTGGATAGATGCAGATTCTCCTGATATTCATCCTGTAGGCTGGTGTTCAAAAACAGGACATCCCCTTCAGCCTCCTTTGAGTAAGAGACACAAATAACTTGTATAAATGTTTCCATTTCCTTATGTAGCATTCTTAATATTTCCTCCTTAGCCCTTCTCTTTCTCCTCCTCTCTCTAGCGATGTTTCTTCTCTATGTAATCCTTTCCTTTTAATACATTTTAATTACCATAGTGACAGAAATAGAAATGAAAAAAATGTAATGCCTGAAGAAGTAAAGCATGTATAGACATTCTGTTTTATTTAGAAGTAAATAGCACCTCTTAAGATTTGTCTTGAATTTTTGGAAGACAATTTGTTAGACTTACAAAATGTATTGTTTTAATATTAGTATCCTGATAATAATTTTATACAATAGCTTTGCAAAATGTTAGCACTGGGAGAAACTGGGCAAAGTATGAAAGAGATCTCCTTCCATATTATTATGTACAACTGCTTGTGAATCTATAATTATCTTAACAAAAATCTCAGTTAAATTCAAATTTTAGAAAAGGTACATGGAAAACTTAACATGCCACCACCTTAATTTTGAAGGAAAATATATACATTGTAGAAAAAAATATGTAGGAAATACAATAAATTATTATCAAGTTTTAAAAAAAATTAGTGTACTTCTTGTATCTAGTGACTTCACTTCGGCATACTACATGCTTAAGGACACATGTACATGGTATTCAGTGCAGCATGTTTAGAATAACAAAGCTTGGGGAAAAAATATTGGTTAAATTGTGGTGTACTATGCTGTAGATACTACGCAGTAGTCATAAAGAATATTAAGATTGCAACAGAAAAACTTGTAAGACAAGAAGTTAAAACCCAAAGAATAATATTGTGCCTTTATGTGGCAAAATACAACATCTATGTTGTGTCATTTATGTGGCAAAATCAAACAAAAGCGAATGTGTCTGAATGCTTAGAACAGTTTCCAGGAGAGCCCACACTAACCTTAGTGGTCAAAATGAGGGAGGGTCTGCAATGTAGAAGGAAGAGCATGGAAGGATCTGGAACTGTCCTTCTGGATTCTTCTGTGGCACTTGGAGTATTCCACAGTATGTGAGTATTCATGCTTTAATTATGTTTTTTACTTAATAAAAGTCGTTTGACTCTTCTTTTAATTCATATTTAGATATTTCTGGAATTTATGACATTTTGAAAGATTGTTAGATCAAAGTTTACCATTTTATTGTTGAAGAAGGATAAATAACTTGAACAGTCATAAGGAAAACCCTTTAAATGTAGTGTCTTTTAAAATATTTTTTATTTTTATAGGATCCACTTTTTCTGTTTATATGTTTGTTCAAAAATTTGATTTTTAGGGAGTCTTTTTCTTCCTTATTCTGATCCTAGACATTTGACTCTTAACAGATTTTTGCTTAATATTTTGTCCTTTCATTCTTTCTTTCCTTTTTTTTTTTTTTCCTCTTTCATAGGCCCCTTGGAATTAATGGAAGCTTCAGAACACGGTGGCTGCTCAACCCCAGGATGTAAAGGGATTGGCCATTTTAAGAGAGCGAGACATCTGGGCCCTCACAGGTAGCTGTCACTCACATCAGGATTTCTTACATGATCAGATAAAGGGTACCTGTTCCATATACATGTATATATAATGAATTTCATGTATACCAAATTGATGTGAACTAATTTTAAATTCGGATCCATAGAAATGTGGTTGCCATGGTGACCATGTAAAAATGAAGGGAATATCTATAGTAAAATCTTCCTGGGAGAAAATGCATTCACGGTTTAAAATCGATTTACTCTAGCTTTTGGCTTTTCTTGGCAACTTGACTAGTTTTACAGATACTTAGTTTCTACAATAGTTATTTTGCATTGATCATTAATAATGAGAAGAGGGAAACTGTTGATATCATTTGGTAGAATATCATCTGATTGGGTGACTCCGTAATTTGAATAATGAGAGATGAGCTTATTGTAGATCAGCAGCAAAGATCACAAAAGGCACAACATAAATAGTCAAACATGAGAGTGCATTGACCCGAAAAGCATTTTTAAATATTTTTCTCTTACCCCTAAGTAACTTTAAAAAGAAACAAAATTTATGCATTTGAAATGTGATGTTTTTGGTGATTTGGGAATCTTTGTGGAGAGTTAAAAATATTGCTGAAGTACAGCTACTTGGGAGGCTAAGGTGGGAGGATTATTTGAGTCCAGGATTCGAGATCAGCATGGACAACATAGCATGATCCTGTGCCTTAAAAAAAAAATTACTGAAATACTAAAAAATTCTTGTGATTCAACTTGCATTTTTAAGATATATTTTAAAATAATAATTTGTCAGTATAATGTTCTAACTACATTGCCCAGTAAGAAAAATGATTCTTTCTTTATCTAGTTTGTACAGGTTGTGAATCTAGGTCTTCAAAAATTTTGAAGATTACTGTACCTATTCCTCCAAGAGTTAATAGGTATTGCAAAATTGGTGTAGTTATTTTCATCTGGATACAGTTTTCTCTTTTTTTCATCTCTGTAACCTTAAATCCTTCTTATTTTCCTTTTTCAACAACCCTCCTTATTGTTTTATGAGGTTCAGTATGTGGCAGAGTGAGAAGTCTGAGCATAGACAGGATGATGATTCCATTTGCAAATCTTTTTGTTGCTTGTATGACTGCAAACCAAAAGTTATATGATACATCTTAGAAGTTATTAAATATTGCCTAGTGAAGGCAGCTGGATTTTCACCCATTATGTAAATCTAGATGCCAGAAATAATTCATGAACATGCTAAATTTCCGTTATTGTTTTAGTAGTTTTGTGTTGCTGTGACAGAATACCACAGACTGGGTAATTTGTAAAGAAAAATGTATTTCTCACTTTCTGGAGGCTGGGAAGTCTGAGATCCAGGGGCCAGCGTCTGACAGGGGCTTTCCTGCTGCAGAAGGTGGAGGATGGCAAGAGAGCACGCATGAGAGAGCCAGAGAGGGTCAAACCTGCTTTTATTTTTTATTTTTTACTTTTTTGAGATGGAGTTTAGCTCTTGTTACCCAGGCTGGAGTGCAATGGCACGATCTCGGCTCACCGCAACCTCCGCCTCCTGGGTTCATGCAATTCTCATGCCTCAGCCTCCTGAGGAGCTGGGATTACAGGCACGCGCCACCATGCCCAGCTAATTTTTTGTATTTTTAGTAGAGACAGGGTTTCACCATGTTGACCAGGATGGTCTTGATCTCTTGACCTTGTGATCCACCCGCCTCGGTCTCCCAAAGTGTTGGGATTACAGGTGTGAGCCACCGCGCCCAGCCAAACCTGCTTTTATAGCGGACGCTCCCATGATAACGAACCCAGTTCTGCGATAATGTCATTAATCCATCCAGAAGGGCGGAGCCTGATCACCTCAGTATTGTCACAGTGGCAACCAGATTGCAACGAGTTTTGGAGGGGATATGCAAACTGCAGCATGTTTAGAAACTCATTCAGTAAACATTTACGAGCAGCGTATTTTCAGCAAGAACTAAGATTTATTGAGGGTTTATTTACTCTGTGCAGGGTATTGCTGTAATTGCTTTACATATCTTGGATACCTTTCCTAACAGCCCTATGAGATAAGAACTGTTTCTTCCCCCTCCGTTTTGGTGAGGCCACCGTGGTACTGGGGAGGTTAGTATCCGGCCTTAATTCATAGCTGGGGAGAAGGGAGCCCAGTGTTGCTGAAGGGTCTGTGCTCTGGACCACTCTCCTCTAACGGCCTCTCAAGACGCCCAACCTTCAAAGCATTCGCAGGCTGATGGAGCTATAAAAGCCGTATGTAATTTAATTAAAATATCAGATACAAAATAACACCAGCACTTTGGCACACATTTCTTTCTGCTATACAGAATATTCATTGGAGCAAAGATAATTTGCTCAAGTTGTGGAGAAAAAGAACAAAGAAAATTAAAGAAATGAGTAAATACTAACAGTATGCTGTTGAGGTGCAGTTGAAGATTAAACAAAACTTTTTGTGGTCTTCTGGAGGGAAGACATAGCTTCTAGCCATGTCCATGGTCTCTTTTGGAGTACATTAGGCTTGAGTGGAGAGGTTTGCCTTTCACAGCAAGGTCTGTGGTAACAGTTGTGACCCCTCCCTGATGGCCCAGCCATTCATCAGGACTGCCTTTCCCAAAGTGTGCAAGTGGACCTCCAAGGGTTCGTCAGCTGGGCCACACCCGTTTCACCAAGATTCAGTGGTTATATTTAGAGCATTTCTTCATAGATGCAGTGTTGTGCTTGTTAAGAGGATTAGAGGAAGAATTTATAGAGAAACCTGGTGAGGAACCCTTTCCAGTGGAATGAGAGTCATAATAGAGGATAACTCGTTTTCTTGGAATGAGAGGCAGCAGCACACCTGATGGCTTAAAGGACCAGCATCGATAAAGAACCGGTATTCATTTTCTTGTCACATATAGAGAGCATAACAAGCAGATTTTGTGCCTTGGGCAGAGCTGTTGGTTGACTTGAGCCTGGGGACAAAGGGTTGCAATTCACAGAACTCTGGGAGGTCCCAGCTTCTGCCCAAGTGCTAACCTCCCTTCTCCTCAGCCTTAGAACTGGGTTTTCTTAGACTCCCTGGCTATGCTGTCCTATTTACAGCACTCAAAGCTCTTTTTCTGGCACGATATTAATCCTTAATAGGCACAGCCTGTTTTCCATTTCATTAGTAGACTTGTGGAGTAGCTTGCTGCATCATGGATATTCTTTGAAAGGTTCATTTCCCTGGCTCTTATTTTTGTTCTGAGTAAGAATGCTGTGTTTAGGAAAACATAATGAGAAAATTCTCTTTGGATTAATTTACTGAGAAACTGCATATATCAAAACATGTACTCTTTGCATAGATAACAAAGAAAGTTGCTCTTTTAGCAAAAGTAATCAATTTAATGAACACGTAAGCAAGAGATTTGTTTTGGCTAGCATTTGTTGTTACCTTCTCTGAAGATTTCAGTATTTGAATTTGATCTAAGAAGTGTTAAAAAAGAACATGTGTCTAAACAATGAAGCTTGATGATTTAATGGTTTTTAAAATGGTAAAATATAAATGATTAGTGGAAGAGCTGGATGTGGGTATGATTTTCTCATCTTTAGGGATATTCAGGAGCCAGATTGCCCAATTGCAACTCTCCAGCAAGGGAACATTAATATTGGTTGTGTCATGGTGTTTCCCTTTGTCACTTCATTTAGTTGGCCTACCAAGAGAGAGGGCAAGGAATGGGAAGAGATTAAAAGAAATTTATATATAAGTAGCCATTCTGCATATCGAATGCCTTCAGAACTGAATCTTTTCTATTGGATTTAGTGTTGGGGAAATTAAACATGAAAAAAGAATGTTTCCAGCAACATCTAAAGGATATTAATGAAGTTCGTGGAATGTTTTAAACAATAGTAACTCTTTTATGCTCCTTCAGGCTGTAAACATCATATTAATTCAGTATGCATCTACCCATGAACAAACCTTTGTAAAGTGCCTTTGTGTCATCTGCTGGGTTAGGTGAGGGCTGTATAGAGGAGAGGTTCCCTCTTTCTAAAGAGGCCAGTCTGGTGTAAACAGATTCTCATAGAGGCAGAGTGGAGCAGTGCTCAGAGAGCAACATAGCTTTTTATGAGGGAAGCAGAGCATTCATAGTGAGGTGTGTTACGGTGTTTTTATTGTTTAGTTTTTGCTGATGTTCTTTTACACAACAAGAGTTAGATGTCACTCTTCTTTTTTAATAATAGTAATCAGTAGGATGTATTGATGACTTCCTGTGTTCCAGGCACTGCTTCAAGGACTTACATGTGTGATCTCATTTGGTCCCCACAGGAACCCTGTGAATGTTAGGCAGTTTTCTACTTCTTGTTTGACAGACGAGGAGACAGAGATTGGAAATGCTTAAGTAAGCGGCCGAGGTTGTACACTGGCGGAACCAGGATTGCACCCAGGCCCATAAGGCACTTAAGTCTCTGCTCTTCACTGCTGGGTGTTCATGTAGTGCACAGTGGCGTGATAGAACCCATCTCCTTTTGTTTTTTTTTTTAAACTGTTTTTTGTCGGGACAGAGTGTGAAAATGATTGTGCAAGCACTTAGAAATCTGGAGATGTTGCCTAATTGTTAAAAATATATACTTACAATTAAAAGGGTTTTTAAGATGGCATTGGAGAGCAGTGAATAAGGCAGCCCTTCTCCCACTCCTAATGAACCGACTGGTCTTCCCTAGAAAAAGCAGCCTCCTTAGAGGAGCCAGTGGGGCAAGTATTTGTATATTTAACTGATATGTGAAATAATTTGCTAATAGTATAGGATGCACCCCAATAAAGTGCTTCTAGTAGAGAACACTGTCATCCTGTGGGGGTCTATCCTTCTGCTTGCTGAGGAGTCGCACAGCAGTAAAGAGTTGTACGTAGATGTGTGCACCTGTATAACCATGACAGAATACACACATTATGTGGTAAGCCACACTTTACTAAAGTTTTTTCACCAGAAACTTAGTACATGAGAAATTAGAAATGTATAAGCCTAGTGAGAACCAACTCTTTCTATAGATGTTTAATTAGCACTGGTGAGTTTTTTAAACTTCATGTGCAGTTTTAGAAGTTAATAATTTTGTAGCTATACATAACAGAAATATGGAACAGGAAAAGCAACATTTCTAACATGATGCAGATCACATATGTTGCTTGTGTTCTTTGAAGTGACATAGGAGTGGTTCCAATCTTCAAACACATAATTACTGGTGAATTTGACTCTTATTCCAAGGGCTAGTTAATGGGAGTAGATGAAATAGTGAAATACTTGACCCATGTTCTGTAGATTGGCTTTTGTTTTTAAAGCCGTCAGATAAGATTATTCTACAAAGCTCTGTGACCTTGAGCCAATACTTAACTTTTCTGTGCCAGTGTCCTCATTTATAAAATAAATTGGTGACAATAGTATCTGCTTGATAAGAATAGTATGATAAATAAAGAAGTTAATTTATATAATGTACTTGGAACAGCGCCTGACACATAGTAAGCACACAAGTCATGTTAGCTCTGTGAGCACAGACAGCAGGCAGCAGCATCTTGCTAGAAAATGGTACTCTCAGATCAAGTTCATTGTTATGGGTTAGGAATAAGGAAATTCTTCAAATATGTTATAGTGGTTATGAGACAGCCACAGTTCCCAATGTAATTCTATCAGGAAGGAATTGAATGACAGTCAACAATTTCCCTTTTTAAGTCCCAAAGGGACTGCTTCTTAGGATTGTGAGATTTAAATAGGTAATGTAAGCATTTGGCCTGGGTAATGCACTTAACCGCTGGTCAGTTTTGTTATTATCATCTAATTTCACAGATGAAACAGAATCTCAGAGCCTGTGCTTGTTTGTCATTGAGTGGAGGAAGAAGCAGCAGAGCAGGGTCAGAACCAGGCTCCCTGATGTCCCGCTCCGTGCCCGTCCTATCACCTGAGCTCCTTTTGCGTTTTGTGGCATTCCATTTTGTCATCACCACCCGCTTCAGGAGCCAGCTAGCTTTCCTCTCTACCCCAGAGTAGGTGTGAAAATGGGAGATGTGTTGATTCTCTTGACTCTTCTCAGGGTTCAAAGAGAGGGGGTTAACAGCTGATAGGCTACGCTTGGTAGATCATCTTGACTTACTCATTAGTAAATCACTGCTTTGAGGGCTGTCAATGTTTTTCCCTCCTTTCAGTTGAGAGTTTGAAATTGAAATTTCTCTCTGGTCCTGGCAATCTATTTTCCAAAATATATATATATATATATATATATATATATATATATATATATATTTATTTATTTATTTAAACAGTAAGTCTCATTCTGGCCAGCAGTTTTGCCTCTCTCTTGAGCTATCCAAGTTTATATACAGTGATTTAGAGAGATAGTCTTTCATTTATTCAACAAATAGGTGAAGATGCTGCCCTCCTAGGGCTAAGAATCTAAATTGTCTACACTGTAACTGTAGTGCTAAATTGAGGACCCAGTCCATCTAAGAAGCCTGCAAGTCTTCCCATCATTGGAGGTGGATGAGATTAAGAAGAGAACCAGTCATTTTCTTCATATCCAGTAAAATTTCAATTTTAATGTATATACAGTTGTTTAATAATTGTAAGGCCAGGTGTTTAACAATGAGTGAAATGCTGGTCATGATATTCTAGGAATAGCTGCATACTGTTTATGTAAAGAAACTAAAAAAATTGTCTTTGAATTTTTTTTTTTTTACTGTCACAAAGCTCAAGCAGATAGCAAAGATGGTGAAAGCCTGAGGTTGGATTAGTAAATTTATCTTGTCAGAAGTGGTGTCAGGAACAGTAAGAGGAGCTAGTTGTGGTTTTTATCTTTTTTTGAGAGAGTGAATTTTTTATCATTTTTGGGTGAAGGGGGGCAAGAGGCATGATTTGTTGAAGATGATAGTTAGTTTTAAACATTTTTATTATAAGGTGACTCTAAGGCATCTGAGTAGAAAATGTTTAGTGAGCATTTTTATTCTCCTTGAAGTCAAGATGAGTGTTAGGTCTAACACCTCCTGCTAGGGAGCCACCAGGGAGCGAGGCTTCTCTTTCTTAGGCCTTTGGCAGTTAGTTACAGTGTAGGCAAGAATCACACACCTGCCAATCAGATGCTGCCATACGTGCTTTCCATCTTGAGGAATGAGGTGAAGGCAGGTCAGACCTTGCGATTGCAGCCTCCATGGAACTGAGGACTAACTAGATCAGGGCCTGGAAAGGGCAGAGGGGCTGAGAGCAGTGGCATGAGAGCCACATGCCCAGCACCCTCCTCCCGTGCAGATCGTTTTGAGGGACTGTGTTACTTGTACCCTGCTTTCTACTCAAGCCTGATTTTTCTGGCCTTCCTCATTGAGCTATCAATGCTCTTCCAGTACGTTTTTTCTGCTCAAGTTAGGCAGAATTGGTTTTGGTCACCTGCATCCATTAACTCTGAATTAGGATCCCGTGAAACATATAAAGGGCTGGTATTCAAGAGACATCATAGTTGGGAATGGATTTTCCTTTACCTTACTACTAAATGAACAAAATGAAATACTACCATACGCCCATGCTCAAGGCAGTGCATGAAATAGCGTTTTCATTTTGCTGAGCTGCTTCATTGCTATGTGGCCTTGGGCAAATAGCATCTCTGCTTGGATGTTAAAGCAAATTCCACAATTTCTGGTATTACCCCCAAATCTTCTTCTCCTTAGTCATTCCATCTCAGAAAAAAAAAAAAGGCACCTCTGTTACCACCCAGTTCTTCAGCCAAAAACAGAATGGCCATTCCTGAATTCTTCTTTCCATTGCTCCCTATATTCCATCCATCTGCAGGTCTTCTTGGAATGACAAAGGACACCATGACTCTCCTCTTCATTTTTGCCCCATCTCAACCACACAAACCCAAGTTATGTCATATCTATACTCTTAAACAACTTTTCTTTCTTCAATTCCATCCCATCGAAATCTTCTCTGCTTTCAAAATCCCTTCTCCAAAAAGACAGAAATAACTCTTAAATAACTTTTCTTTCTCTAATCACATCCCATTGAAATCTTCTCTGCTTTTAAAATCTTCTCTCCAAAAGGCATCCTGAGTGATCCTTTAAAATTGCAAATCAAACCTTATTGTTTTCTTATTTGAAGATCTTCCATCAGTTTCAGATGTAATGTTTACTAAAAATATAACGTCCTGACTGGCCTGCTAGGCCCTACGTGATTTTTGCCTGCCTGTTTCTCCTAGTTCATCTCATCCCCACCACGTTCTAACCAACCTGGTCTCTCTTTCCCTCAGGCAAGCCAAGCTTTTCCTATTGGCACTGCTCCTCCCATCCCCTGGAACATTCTTCTCCATGTTGTTTACCTACAGGTCTTCTTCCTGACCATTACAGCTCTGCACGGTGCCTCCCCTGGAACGAGGGCTTTCCTTACCACTCCATCATAGCATTCTCACCCTCTCTCTTACATGACAGGATTTTTTTTCATGGAATTTATCACCATATTTTTATGGTTATCTGATTTATGTGCATAATTGTGCATTGCCAGTCTCTCCCTGGAATATCAGCTCCATGAAACCAGAGAGCTGGTTTCTTGTCTTTGTTGTCCATTGAGTTTCCAATGCCTGGAAGGGTAATCAGCACCTAATAGATACATGATAAGTGCTTGTTTAATAAATGAATAAAATAAAGACTGAAGCTACTTAACTGTTATAAGCTTTAATTTGTTGCATGAAATGGCTTTCTCTAGGACGTTGGCAAGATAAACTATTGCATGTAAAGCACTTAGCCCAGTGCTTGATATATCATAAGTGCTCCATAAATGTCACTGTATTTTGTTTCTGTTGATGTTGGGCTTACATTATAGAAATTTATGTCAACACATAATCAGATATTATTTGCTTTCTTCTTTTGCATAGCTACCAGTGTAGAGTAGCAGCACTGAAAGAAAATAAAGTCAGAATTTTTGCGTATGAGATATCTGTGATAAATTTTATAGGCCATTATCAGAATCACCTGGCAGCCCTTTTCAACCCTTCCTTCCTTTTCCTAGGAGGATGTATCAGATTCTGTTGGTGGATAGTAGCTAGATACTGTTTAAAAATTTTCCCTGGGTGATGATCAACATTCTCCTTGTGATCTACACTGAAGGAAAGAACACAGAAGATTCTAATGTAATTTACCTAAGTCCCAAACTATTTCCAGATTTAAGAATGCTTCCCAAAAGCAAAGAGGCAAGATAGGCAGTTATTAAGAGAGGCCAGTGTATGTTGGGCTCTGAGATAAGGCGGTTGTCTAGTTGTTTCGGAGACTGGAATGCTAAGGCGCTGGGCACAGGAGTATACTAACTAATGGTGAGTTAACAATGAGTGACCTCAATTTCCTTACAGGAATGATCACCAAATGAGACCTGAGAGACCCGCTGGCAGTCACAAATGGAAGGGAAATGAGCGAGATGCATCATTATCCAAGTTGGCCTCTCATCCTTTTTCATATTAGGGACAAGATTAGCTACAAATTGATACATGTATTTTCTAGAACATCAGGCATAGGTCCAGACCTGGACAGAGGAACAGCCTATGAAGAAACCTCCTTCCTTTGGAGGATAGTAACTATTATAAGAGGAAATTAAATAGCATGTGACTGCCCTGGACCTGAAGGATCACCTTAGGAAGCAGAAGCAAATCCGCTCCATTAACCAATCAGTCAATCTCTCTCTCCCATCTCTGTCCTATGATTTCTGAAGCATTTCATTCCTGGGGCTGATTGTTCCCAGAAACGTGCACAGAGGGAGTCCTTCTGTGACCCTTGCTCAGTTCTAAAGATTGCAGCAGATTCTTTTTTAAAGTCTAGTGCATAAACCTATTTCCTATTTGAATATATTTGTTATGTTTTAAAGATACAATATGCTGTATGTATGATCATAAAAAATAACATATTCAGTTAAATTTTAGAATTTTATATTCTGTAGCCTGTCATTTTGATTGGAAGAAGTATGGCCTAATGGAAATGTTTAATGTTCTTTTTTTCTTTTCTTTTCTTTTAATCTGTTAGCGCTGCCAACTGTCCCTACTCAGAAGTCAATTTGAATAAAGACCGTATTTTTCCAGACCGCTTAAGTGGTGAGATGCCTCCGGCTAGTCCATCATTTCCAAGAAATAAAAGGACAGACTCAAATGAAAACTCTTCATCCCCTGAAATCAGGTAATCAAAGAACTAAGATTAGCATTGTTTAGAAGTACTGTAATTGAAAGAGATTTTATGTATTTTAGATGTTTTATGTTCTATAGCAATGTTTTCTTGGAGATTATTGTGAAATGATGGTAGAGATCAGTACTTGAACTTAAAATAAAAAGAGAGAGAGTTTATAAAAGCATGCCCAAATCAGGCAGAAGTTTTCTCTTGTTCATTTTTTTAAAATTTGCTTGGTATTGGAGGCAGAAATTCGGAAATTGCAGTCATTTTACTACATATAGTTAATATTTCTGCATGACTTGATCAATACTTACATGCAACCTTTATCAGAAACAGCAGACTCATGAAGTATGGACATTATTTCTTTTAGTGCTCATTATGTGCTAAGTAATTGCATATACATTATTTCATTTAATTATTAATATGTCAATTGTATTATAAGCCCAGTCATTTAGTTTATAGTTGAGTTGGAATGTTTAACCCCAGTGGTTTATTAAGTAAAGAACCAAATTGAAATATCTTTAAGCAAGTGGTCCATGCCCTGATATTAACTGAGGATGCTATTAAAAGAAAAAACAGAATAGGAAAAAGATATTTCCTAATACTTAGCTTTCGGCTTTTTATTTTATAAATTACTTTAAGACCTAAGGCAACATAGTTTATTTTTATATATAATTTCTGTTATTCTGGATGAACCTAGTGGGCATTTAAATCATTGCATTGTCATAGGAGTAATGGCATTTAAACTAAAGGATTGTTCTCCTTATAGAAAAGCAGTTTACCCTATCGATGGAGTAGGGGACACCTACAACTTCCTCTAGTATTAACAACAGTGATGATTTTTATAAATCCTTAAAACTGCGACAGTTAACATAAACTCATTGACCAAATCCCAGCATCCAAAAATGAGGGTCACTTGAAAAAATTTTAACAGGATTATTTGAGCCTGGGAGGTCCAGGCTGCAGTGAGCCAAGATCACACCACTGCACTCTAGCCTGGGTGACAGAGTGAGACCCTGTCTCAAAAACAAAAACAAAAATTTAACTTTAAAACATTTAACAGTTATCAGTTCACCTAGACGTGATTATAGATACAGGGTTCATTGACTAAAAAGATGGTAAGAATACCTAGACTTTAGATTTCAAAATTATTTTTAAAAAGTTTAAAAATTGTTTATTGTTTAAAAAGTATCAACAGAATATTCAGAAGGGTTAGTAGTTGCCTGTTGTAGGTTTTTGAATAACTGTCTGGGCGCTTGGGCCAAATACCTGGTGCCAAAGTTTTCTCACAGAGCAAAGAAGTGGTTGGTTGGATGATTTTGTGGGTTCCTTTTAGCTCTAAATCCATGTAAGAATAGAGTAATCTTTGTAGTGGATCTAACCATTCCGGTGCTCTGTCTTCTGTTAAAGTGCAGTCCTATCCTTCCTCATGGTCAGCATTTGTGATCAAGGAAACAATCTGACATTTTCAAGTTTTCGATTTATAATCCATTGCACATTTTTCATGTCTAAATATTTTTAAATGATATTTTTGCCTATACCTATTAATAATTATCATAGTAATTATCACTTATTAAAACCTAATTATTACCTAATAATTATTACCTATTAATAATTAAATGAAATAATACAAATGCAACTACTTGGCATACCATCTTTTGAGTCAGTGAAGTCTGGCCTGCTATTACCTTTCCTTGTCTTTTCACTATTTTTGTGACTTTTCTGCAAAAATGAGTAGGTTTGAAACCCATCCTCTCTCTGGGGCTTCAGTGAAAGCCTTTACTCACTGAGACCCTGAATTGACTCACTTAGGATTGTCACCTCCACTGTCAAAAATAAAATGAAATGTGTGTCCCTGCTTTATATCACTGTATGTGTGCAAAGCAGTACTTTAGTTTGCTGGGAGTCAAGTGCGAAATGAAAATGTCTGAAGCAGCCTAAGTGATCTGCAATGGCTCCACTCAGAAGGTGTTAGTGGTAGGAAGTTTGATTACTGTTGAGGTATGCAGCAAGGCTGCTGTTAGAATTCTGCCAACCATCTCTTCCCCTTCCAAAGTTCCCCATCTTCCGTCCTGACTCACAATTTTTCTAAGAGGTCAAAAGGCCCTTCTCCCTTCCTGTTGGTCTCTTACAAACCTTAACTTCGAGTGTAACCCAAGGCTGAAAATAGTGTCTTTAATAGTTAAAGAAATATCCTTCCACTCATTTGCCAGTCAGTTTCCTTCTTTTCGGGAAAACCCTGAGCATGCCACATTCCTAGTAATACTATATTTTGAATTGTGTGTATGCAAGTGTCGTAATCATTTCAAAGTGTCTCATGTGATTATTGTGAAAATGGTCAGAGTGTCCATGTCTAACCCTTGAAAAGGTACTGGCAGAGCAGCAAAGACCTTCCTCTGGCCTGAGATCAGCTAGGAGTGAGAAGTAGTGGTAGGACTCAATTTGTCATAGTGTCATGACTTGATGCCTCTCACTAGACACCCTGGAGTCTTTCTCTTAAGTGTTCAGAGGTGAGCCCTCTGTAGAGGTGTTCATTGGCTCTGCATCTTCTTGACTCACTTTGTGTACCAGCTTTGGCCAAAACTACAGTTTTATATATAGGAAAAGTAAAAGAGCTACAACTTAGACTTTCCAGCTATTTATTTGGAGTTTTATATATTTTTTTTTCTTCTTCCCACCTAACCAGAAAGCAGTAAGTCAGTTCCACCTTGGATAAATCAGCTGTATACAAAGAGATTGAAAAATAAAAAAGAGTATGAGGATACTGAGCTTTCTGCTTAACTCAAAAGAATTTAGTGTGTTAAAACCTAGAGATAGTGGCCACAGCTGGGTACGGTGGCTCATGCCTGTAATCCCAGCACTTTGGGAGGCCAAGGTGGGCAGATCATGAGGTCAGGAGATCAAGACCATCCTGGCCAACATGGTGAAACCCTGTCTCTACAAAAAAAAAAAAAAAAAAAAAAAACATTAGCTGGGTGTGGTGGCAGACACCTTTAATCCCAACTACTTTGGAGGCTGAGGTAGGAGAATCACTTGAACCCAGGAGGCAGAGATTGCAGTGATCTGAGATCGCACCATTGCACTCCAGCCTGGGCAGCAGAGCGAGACTCTGTCTAAAAAAAAAACGAAAAAACAAAAAACAAAAACAGCAACCAAAAAAACCTGTCAGTAGCAAGTAATCTCATCTTCATGTAAACTTCTAGGATTCCTGTAAAGTATCTGTAAAAGTAAAACTAAAATAAATACTGATATATTTTTAAAAATTATTAAGCATTTTCGAGGTGCTATACTTGGAGTGTCATACATTATACAAGCATGGTTCTTGTTTCTTCTAGCAGTTTTCCTCAAGTGTTATCTTCCTGAGTAAATGCTGTCAGTGATGCCTGCTGTTTTTCTGCTTAGTACTGTCTTAGTTACAGTTTAAAGTACATAAACCAATGAGAGACACTAAAACTTTGGAGGTGGAAAGTTGATGCAACTAAACTTTCTTAGGGTTTTTTTTTCCTCTCATGCAACTTTAGTGCTTTGCTTTTTGCCATTGTTCTGCATGCCTTGCCGTCTCAGCTCTTAATGTAGCTCTTAAGATTAGTTATTTTCTCTGGAACGAATGGGTTGAAGCCCAGTATTGCAAGAACACACCATGGTGTTTTCTTTTCCTCCAGAAAAGAATAGCTAAATATGGTGATTAGGAACATGGGGCACTGCTTGAATTTAAATCTCGGCTTCCCTACTTGCTAGGTTTAATGACCTTTGATGAATTACTCAATAGCTCTTTGCTTTGAATCTCATAAGTCATCAGGATTACATGAGATGAAAAATGCAAATCGAAGCTCTTAGAATAGTGACTAATAAGTCATAAGCCCTCAATAAATGTTAGTTTTTATCAGTGTTGTTGAAAGAGGAATAGATGGGCTGTGTGCAGTGGCTCACACCTGTCTGTAGTTCCAGCACTTTGGGAGGTCAAGATGTGCAAATCACGAAGTCAGGAGTTTCAGACCAGCCTGACCAACAAGGTGAAACCCCGTCTCTATTAAAAATACAAAAATTAGCCTGGCGTGGTGGCGGGTGCCTGTAATTCCAGCTACTCCGGAGACTGAGGCAGGAGAATTGCTTGAGCCCAGGAGGTGGAGGTTGCAGTGAGCCAAGATCACACCATTGCACTCCAGCCTGGGTGACAGAGCACGAGTCTGTCTCAAAAAAAAAAAAAAAGGAAGGGGGAATAGATTACTTTGTTTCATAATATTTCTTTTATTCCTTAGGAGCAAATCAATGGCTGGACCATTTGTTTACTATTCTTTTTTTATAGGGGGGCAGGGAGAAAATTTTATTTTATTTGTTATTTAGATTTTTTATTTTTATTTTACTCTAAGTTCTAGGATACATGTGCAGAACATGCAGGTTTGTTACATAGGTATACACATGCCATGGTGGTTTGCTGCACCTATCAACCCCCACCACCTAGGTTTTAAGCCCCGCATGCATTAGCTGTTTGCCCTAATGCTCTCCTTCCCCTTGCCCCCCACCCCCTGACAGGACTTGATATGGATGTTCCCCTCTCTGTGTCCATGTGTTATCATTGTTCAACATCTCCAGCTTATGAGTAAGAACATGCAGTGTTTGGTTTTCTGTTCCCGTGTTAGTTTGCTGAGAATCATGGTTTCCATCTTCATCTGTGTCTCTGCAAAGAACATGAATTCATTCTTTTTATGGCTGCATAGTATTCCATAGTATATGTGTGCCACATTTTCTTTATCCAGTCTATCATTGACGGGCATTTGGGTTGGTCCCAAGTCTTTGCTATTGTGAATAGAGCTGAATTAGATATATGTGTGCTTGTGTCTTTATAGTAGAATGATTTATAAGCCTTGGAGTATATACCCAGTAATGGGATTGCTGGGTCAAATGGTATTTTGGGTTCTAGATCCTTGAGGAATTTCCAGCCTTCCACAGTGGTTGTACTAATTTACACTCCCACCAACAGTATAAAAGCCTTCCTAACTCTCCACAGC